GTCAAGTACCTGCTTATGTGGCTTGATTCTGTAGGCAATAGAAAGAGTTTACCATGGTTAGAAGTGAAGGATTTCTTGGCCTTTCATGATATTCAACTCCCCCCCCCATGATTAAAGCTAAATCATTCCTGCCAAGGTGCTTTTTGTCCCTGGCCCAGGGAGATGCTTCAGAAATGTAAATACATAATTATGTGCGATGCATCAGAGTTCACCAAATAGCAAAGATTTTACAAAACTACACACAGGCAAGGGGACCCCTGGAATCCTTCCCCTACAAGGTTTACATTTCTTGCAAGAAATTACTAAGGCAGAAATCCCATAAGCAAAGTGCTCACTGAAGGAAGGCCAAAGTTAGTCCCAGACGTTTGATGAGGGGGTCAACTGATGTTGCCCAAGCTGCTTGTACCTACTAATCCAGCCCCAATTACATATTTGCGCCGCCACTGAGTGATAAATTAATAGCTGGCCCACTACATACTGCTCACCCATTTTTCTAATCAACATACACACTGTTTATGTCACTGGCAAACTGAGCCTTTTATATTTTAAATGAGAAAGTGAATTATTTTTAATGTCCCAGTCTCCTGTGATAACAGAAGATCCACTTGCAGTTTAACGCTAAGCTGGTTAGCACCCTCCCAGACTCTCATGTTAGTCAGTAACACCCACTCATCCAACCTGAACAGACACTTTCACCTCTTCCTGTCTGTCCTATATTCAGTCCTTCAGCCAGTCTCTATTCTGCTCTGCAGTCACAATGTGAATCTGAACCATTTACAGGGCTGTTGCAGGATTCTTGCCAACTGTTTCCTTACACACACATGTTCTTCCCCTGGACTCCCAGTCTGGTAGTGTTCTTCAGCCTGGTTCCCTACTCAAGGAGCTGGCATCTGACTTGGATCTCTAGCCCCAGGGAGCCACCAGCTGTGCAAATCACATGAACAGTCCCTTGAAAGAAGCTGGTTTATTTAAAATGAACAATTTGGTTGCCTTCCTGTGCACTTCTCCAAGATGCAGAGGCTAGGGGTGCAAAGGGATCTACGTAGAATCCTAAACCATCACGCAGGTAAGAGGTCTGTGGTTTCCCTCTGCCAGTAGCTCAAGAGCAAGGTGTCCCAGTGAGTCTGAGACTGGAACAGCTCAACCCGTTCATTTGTTAAGTTATTGGCTTTGCATCAAGCAGAGTTCAGAAGCTGCTTAGAGACAGAAAGCTGAGGCAATGCACTAGCAGAACCGGGAACAAGAGGCATGCAGTAGTGTTCTCTAAGGATTATCCTAAGGTTATTAGACCCTTGGGCCCAGATTCTGTGGCACACCAATAACTCCACTCTCTTGTCCCACCTGCAGCAGCTGAACTCTTTTCCCCCTGAAAACTGGTATGCATTGTCAAGGCTTTATTTTACATGCTTCCTGGCTAACTAAGCCTAGGGGTGTGGGAAAGGAAGATGCAGCCCTCACCCCTTGGAGAGGCAGACCTGCTATCTGGGCTCTCTCTCACATTCATTTAAGTTATGACTCTCCCTTCCCTAGCTGCTTACACTAGGATTCCTGACATCTTGCTTTTGCTGCTAGTCTAACTGGAAAAGTGCAAGCACAGCTGGCTTTCCTGCTGCAGGAAGAGAGCTGAAAAACAAGACATCTGCAAAAAAGGGCCACGAATGTCATGGGAGCTCAGCTGGGACATCCAAAAAAGCTCTGTAGGGGCTCAAGAGAGTACTGGAGGTCGTAGGTCTCTACTTCAAGGCTTAGAACGTTGAGGCTGTTGCCCGGCCCCTACCGTAACTAAAACTGTTTCTTCTAAACTTGGAGTCATCCAGTCAGAAGCAGAGAGGACAGTAAGAAGGACCAGGATCGCTCTGTGCAATGGACTGCTTGTCATGACAGGAAGCTCATCTTGTCAGGTAAGCCTGCCTAACCCAATTACAATACCTGTGTAGTAGTAGTGTAAGTAGGGCAGGATGACCAGGGCAGCCATTCTGGGCACCAACTTGCGGGATGGAAAAAAACTAGCTGCTGCTGTGCCACCGGCATGATTGCACAGCTGCTGTAGCAGCAGAAATTGCCACTGGCCCCTTGTTGCAGCTGCCCCAGGCACTCAGCTGCATTGTTATGGCTCTGCTGCTTAGTGCCTCACTTGAATATAAATTCCTCCCAGGCACACACTATGTATGGGTCCTGATAGCAATAATTATACAGATCTCCAATGCAAATCTCAGCTTTCCCTAGAGCCCAGTTTTGCTTTTCTGGAGATTTTCTCTGCCCCAGAGGCAACAGTTGTAAATGAATCAGGGCTATAGTAGAAAATAAATATAAAGAGAGGTGCTCTTTACACCTCTGTGAAGAGAGGAGTCTGGAAATGGGCGCACACTCTCCTGTGGATGCTAGTATTGGAAATATGTCTAGGAGAGAGGGACCTGCTGAAGATAAGGAGGTCTCAGAGGGACCTGCCCCTCTAAGATCAATTTGTCTTGCCTTACTTGATGTCTTTGGTTTTGATTTTTATAACAAGCCTGGAAAATCCTATTGACATAAATGAAAAGTTGTAATTAGCAGTTAATTTGGCAAGATGATATAAGGAGCTCCACCCAATCCAACTGGAGCTGAAATTGCTCTGCTCTTGGCAGAGCTCATTTGTGAGGGAAATCTGATTGGGAGTTGACCTAGCCTGCTGGGAGGATGTTCAGCTTAGGTGCTGGGGCTCAGCAGGAGCACAGAAGCCAGATTCAGCCAACTCTCCTTTCCAGTTAAACAGCAAGGTAATCATTGGTAAAGGCAAACTTCTTATTTTGGATTAATTAGGATGACTTGCAATTGATTGTAGGGCTTGAGAGCCTGTTTTTTAAAAAGAAAAATCAATTTCTGCATTTGAGATGCCACCAGCTGTTTCAAATAACTCAGTGATTTAGGAAAAGAACCAATCTCTTACTTTTTGCACGTGTGAGATTTTGCCCAGGTGTTACTGGATTAGATGTGGGTCCATGCAGAACAGGTTTCTTACTTCATCTTGAAAAGCCTCCTTCCCCCAGAAGAACTTTTGACCTACTACAGATTATCACAACTGTCTTCCTGCAGGCCAGTCCATCAAATGTTACCCAAGCATATGAGCAGAGGGAAGTCCAGATGGTTTCCAATAAAGGCAATCTGAGCTTGAGCTTCTTCTGTGAGATCAGCAGTGAACCAAAAAGAGGAGCTTCTTCTCAGCCTCCTGTTTTGTTCAGTGAGAGAATTCTTAGCCCTACAGACTAACATAAATGCACGTGAAAGGCTAGCTCAAGTAAAGGACCTGGGTGCCCAAAGAAGGGTTTAGGCAGAAAAAATTGAGACCTGTCTCTCTGGTATCTAATGCCTCCCCCCTCCCCTTCCTCCAGCTGCTACCTAGACTCATTAGGCAGCTCCTAATTGAATCTGAAGTCTTTTAGGCATCTACACTTTTGCTTCTGTGCATGCCAGAACTGCTCCAGAGCAAGCAAATTGGCACTTGTCTTTCACCTAAGCACAGCTGAGATTCAGAATCCAGGAGTTCCTCCACCTGAGTTCCCTGAGGGGCTTGATAGGGGAGATGTTTTTGAAGTATACCTAAGCACAGTGAAAGGATTGGGCACCTCACACATTGCACCTATAGCTACTCCCTTTTGTCAGGATGTTTTCCAGGGGGCTGCTAGCACCCACCTACCACATCATAGCCTAGTGGAAAGTGCATCCATTCAGAAAGTGGAAGACATGAGTTTAATTCTCTCCTCAACCTAAGGGGTGTTACCTCTCAGCTCCATGTTCTTGGGGAACCCTGACACAGGACACAGACTGTCTGACTCGCAAAGAATTCCCGCCCCCCAAACAAAACTGATTAAGATGCAGCAAGGGACATACCTAATGCCCTCCAGATAAGGGAGCAACTGCCCTAGGTCTCATTTGAATCCAAGATGGAACCAGATGACCATTTATTTACATGGGAGATGGAGAACAGAAAGCCCGAAGCAAAGACTGCAGTGAATTCTGGGATCAGAGAAGCGGGGGAGTACTGCATGATGGGGAATCTGCGCTCCAAATGCTAATCAACCCACATTTACACACACCCAGCCCAGCATTTATCAGACCAGTTCTAATCTAGATTAACAAAGGACCCCCC